AAACTAGGCCGGGCGAGGTCGGCGGCGTGCCTGTAAGTCACCGAGCTATCAGGAGGCTGAGAGGCAGGAGAATGCATAAACCCCGGGGCAGAGCTTTGCGGAGCTTGAGGGATCCCGGCCACTGCACTCCAGCGCTGGGCAACAGAGGCGGAAGACTCTGTCTCAAACAAAAAAAAAGAGAAAGACAAGAAAGAAAAGAAAAACATGACTCTTGGAATCTCGTCCACCTTTTCTGGCACGATTCTGGGGGACAGGTCGACAGCCAGCACTGCCTAGCTGTGTGGGACTTGAGCAGACGACAGTTAAGCCTCTCTCTGACACCTCATGCCTTCTCTGCAGGCCCTGGGATTGATGTATCTTCACTATCGGATATGGAGATGTGTTTATAATTAGTTGCTTGGCGTACAATGCTTGGCCCCAGCATGGTGGCGTCCCTATGCTAATAGATTGTGACTATTGTTGAGTTATCCATTACGATGTGGAATAACAGGTGTTACTATTTGCACATATTTGAGGCATTGGTTATGGCACTTGAGATACCAAATGGGAGGTGTGCAAAATGGAGCCAGGCTTTCCTAGCCAAAGGGCCCCCCAGGAAATGTGCCCATAGTGGTAAGCTGGTCATTTTCTAGCTGGTGAAGAGTTATCGCAGTCATCTCTTTAACTCAGATCCATTACACTGGGCCATAGAAACATTTCATGAATTTATGGTGGATAAATATAAATATGACTACATTTGAAGGAAGGGAAAAGGAAAACCACCAAAAGCCCATTTAGACAATTAGAACCTACTCTTTACATCTGTCATATAAGCTGCTGAGAACTACTCTCTTTAAATCATTGTTATATGCTATTAATTAACTTGAAGTCTTGACCATTCTTTGGCTTTTCCTTTTAGCTTTTGTTTCAAATAAATATTTCAATTTGCTATTGTTTTGCTCACATTCTATGCTTTGCTTTTCAATACAAGTTAAGCACAAGTATTTTTATGTTTTTACTAAAATCAATAAAAGGTTTATGTTGCCTTTAATAGAATAAATACAGAAGAAAATGGATGAAATTGGCTGCTAGAGTATTTCAATTATGCAATTTATAAGGTATATTAAAATCTCCCACAATTTTAATTTTTTCTATTTTCAAAAGTTATATTTTAAAAATATATGTGACATTTTATTAATTGGTGCATAAATGTTTACAATTGTTATCTTTTATTGCAGACTATGCTGTTAGTAGCATAACATAAGCAGCTTTTGGCCAGGCGTGATGGCTCACGCCTATAATCCTAGCACTCTGGGAGGCCAAGGCGGGTGGATCACGAGGTAAGGAGATCCAGACATCCTGGCTAACACAGTGAAACGCTGTCTACTGAAAATACAAAAAAAAAAAAAAAAAAAATTAAATTACAAACTGGGAGAAGCAAGATCAAAGAGTCTGTTTCAGGGTTATCTGTGTGCAGCCAAGGCCGTGATCAGCACATGTTCAAAGGAGAGTAACAGTAACAGTGACGTGTTTGCTCCTAGGTATGAATTCTATGCTCATCCTAAGAAAAAGAAGGAATGTTATAAAAAATGTCGCTTAAAGTGTATACAACAAGTGTTTACTTCTGGGGAAAAAAGCTCATTTTAACTCTTGAGACCTAGTTTATTGGTAAATTAAAAAAAGTAAAATCAAGGCTCACATCTATTTTATGACTTGTTGCTTAAGATGTTCTGCTCTGAAATTCTTCAGAATGGCTTTGGTGAGTGTCAGATCAAAGTCTGCATTTATTACATCAGAAGAGCTGTTTCTGCTTGGACTTGGCAGTTGTCTAAAAGGATATCAGAAATTAAGAAGAATAGAGCATAAGTAAACAATGGTTCTCTTTCACCCTTTCTTTGGAGACAGTTTTTTTTCCTTTTTTTTTTTTTTCCTTGGGAAAAAATGTAGCTGTCTCATATCCATGTCATTCTAATCAAAATCACAGACTCACATGTTGTGTTTCCAAAGTCAGGTTTCCAAGCTGGGATGCAGTTGGTTGGAGGCTGTGTGGGTGGGTTGGCCACAGGAATGCTCCCTTTCCCCTGCTTGGATGCCCCACAGCCCTGACCACGTATTTCCACTGCCACAAGCTCATGTGATGTGGTCCTATCATGAAACTGAGAAAAGCCAAGGACCTTATCCAGTCTTACAGGGGCCATGCACGAACACCAGAATGGAAGGTTTCTTTCCTCTCTCTCTTTTATTTAGTTATTTTTTTAGAGACAGTGTCTCACTTTGTCACCCAGGCTGAAGTGTCTGTACTCACTGCCTAACATGGTGGTGGGTGTGCTGCCTGGGCTCCGTGAGGTTGTGTTGAGTGACGGAGCGGTCATGATATGACCCTTTTCTGTGTGTGCTATTTTAGAGGTGGAAAAGGGTGGCCT